AGGGGGCAGCGCTCAGGGGCATGACCGTGCGTGAGCAGCCAGGTCTCCGGGACAACCACTAGTGCCCCCAAAGAAAAAGAGGTATGGCTCTGCCCAACGGGTGGGGGCGGCCCACTGCAGAGGACTCATGCCCAGCCCAAGCACTTCATCCCCAAGCCTGTGGCCTCAGGCCACCGGTCAGCACTGGCACTGGCTAACGTAGCCTGAGAGGTCATTGCTGGTACGCCGCCTGAGGCTTACCCAGGCATCACCATGAACAGCGTCTCCTTCCATTTGTACTGAGAGCTTCTTCGGTCCCTAGTCACTACCACCTGCTCAGGGGACACCTGGACCTGTAGCTGGAGATTATTGAAAGTCACCTCGATCACTGAGAACTGGGCCTTCTCCATGTCATATTCACCAATCACCTCGAGACCTGAGAGAGCCGGGAGCAGAGGTCAGAGGCATGGCCCGCTCTGATTACGTCCCTGAGAACTGTCCTTCACCAACCCCCTCCTCACTGCCCTTTCCCAGCATTCCCTCACACTGGAGAATGCTTTCCACAATCTTTTCTCTCCTCCCTTGGTTGCATTTGACTTTGGAAGCACCACAAATCCTCAGTGATGGACACTTTCAGATGAGCCCTCTGAGAAGGGCGATCGTGTCTGAAGTCCATGAACACTGATAAAGCGCATTAGTGTGCGGGGCCCTGAGCTAGGTGCCATGGCCAAGAGTGAGATGGCAAATCATTGGTCCGCGCCCTCAGGGAGCAAACAGACTCTAGGCCTGGTGTGTGGAGGTGAGAGACCGTGTGTGAACCTCCCTGAGTGCTGTATGTCCCCACGTCTGTCTTGACATCTCAGCTCAACCAGTACGACCCTTCTGGGGGGTGGGGAGCAGGTCTGGTCAGCACACCTCCCTCCTCTTGCCTTTCATCTCCTCCAGACTCTCTATGGTCCCACTACTATCTTTCAGGGCTCTGGGCTTCTGCCAACCTCTGCCTCTCCCTAGTAAACCCCCACTTGTCTGCCAAGGCCCAGTCACTCCTGTGTGACCCTGTGCAGCCTCATATGCCCCTCAAACAGCCCTGGCCTCCTCTTCTGGGCTTTTGCCTCTAGCTCGATTTGGGCACTGACTGCAGAGGGTTTCTCTGGAACATGACTGCTCAGGGCCTCACCTTGGTCAGGGTCTGAGAGCAGGAGTAATAATGGCCCACGGGTGCTCTTGATGTCCACACAGAGCTGGTCCCCGCTCTGCCCAGGCAGAGGCAGGATGAAGGTCGAAGCCTGGATGGGGGCTGGGGCAGCAGATGCGGTTCTTGAGGCAGGTAGAACATCTGGAGGGCAGCAACGGGAAGGGGGGCTCCGGGGGGCAGGCAGCTTACCTGGTGGTGGGGCTGTTGGGCTTGTTTCTGAAAGAAAAAGTCGTTGTTTAGGCATCCCCTTCCTCGCATTTGGGGGCAAGGGGAACTGAAGGATGGGATAGTGTATAAATGTGGCCAGGGTTCCTTCTCCACTTCAACATTGAGAAACATGTAACAGGTTCCTAGAGATCCCCAGGGCTCTCCCATCCCAGGGTCTTCCTGCTATAGGGCAGTCGTCTACTTCAGGGAATCTGGTCTGAGGGCGTACCTTCCATTGTTTCATCCAGGTAATCAAACACCAGGGGAGTGGAGAAGGAGAAAGATTCTAGTATAGGATTGGCCAGAAACGGAAAGGGAGAAGGCAGTCAGGATTCAGCGCAATCAGCACGCCCTCCAGCCATCACTGCCACCTGCACCCACCAAGCTCCAGCCCTGCGACCCCTGCCCCACGTTCACCCAACCTAGGAGAGCACACTTTTAGGAAAAACTGAGGAGACAGGGTCCAGCCTGGTGTTGGGCTGGGTCTGAATCCAGACTGGAGATCAGAAACAGCTCATGGGGCCACTCATGGCTAGGGGAATGGTGGGAGCCTTCCCTTTCTAGAAGGTTCCATCCTGAGCCAGCCTGCAGAGTGTAATGAGTCTGGTTCAGTGAAACTAAATGACACACTGCTTCATGTCAAGCCCCACAGCAAGTCTGCCTGGTCGGTGCCCAGCCCTGTGCAGGGTGCTGGCTCTCATCCAGCTCTACAGGCAGGCTTACCCTCCCCTTGGGGTAATGAGGCCTCGAGGTCAGAAAGTGGCTCACCTGTCTCGCTTGGTAGCCTCGGATCCAGGTCCGATTTAGAGAATGGAAAAAGATAATTGGAAGGAACAGGAAATCCAGGTGGTCCAATACTCATTTCGGCCACTTTATGAAGTCGAACGTACGGGGAAACTCCAGCTTTAGAAAGGTTGACACCTTTGAGCAGTCTTGGCTCAAGCAGAGTCATGGGTTCCCACCACCAGGGCTCTGGGACCCACCCCGGGAGACGCATGTACAGAGGGCAGATGGCTCCCTTCCCCACGCCCTCCACTCTGAGAGCCTCTCCCCCTTCAGCCAGGAGAAATTCAAAGCGGAAAAGGAACCCTTCTTGAACTCCTCCCACCCTGTTGGGACATCAGTTTCTTCTGCCACTAACAAAAGTTCCAGCATAGACACACCTGAACTTGAGTCCCAGCCCTGCCACCAGCCAGGTGAGCCAAGCAAACCACTCACCCACAGTCGGGGCAGAGCCCAGCCTGTGGCCAAGGTCAAGGGTCTGTCAATCTCCCCTCCCACCACCGCTGATCCTTTGTTACCTGCTCCTTTGGACAGTGGGTGTCCCATGGCTCTATGTCTGAAGACAGTGCGACCTGGAAATCAGAGAGACCTGAGTGTGCATCCAGCTGGATGGGGGTGGTGCCACTAGCGCCAGGACAGACAATATCTGAACGAACAGGTGATTAAATGCACCAACGTGCTTGGGCAGACAATGCCCCTCCTGGCAGCAGGCTGGGCTGGAGATGCCCTGGCCAGCAATTGTCTTGGTTGAGTAGAAAGATGACTTGGAGTGACTTAAGACCCTTACACCTGGTTTGCATCCCTCCATCTTTCAAAAAGAGGACTACTGTCCTAGTTTTAGTTGGGACAGGTAATCTTCCTTCCTTCCCTGGGTCCTTTTGTTTGCTGTTGTTAACATGACAATGCGGGACCCAGTGTTTGAAGTCCATATTTAACCTGCTTCCCCACACCAGCACCACAGAGCTGCAGTGCATATGAGAGGGTCAGGAGACCTGGCCTCCGTTTCCTCATCAATGAAATGGGATGCATCTCCTGGGGGTCCTGGGAGTCTGTGTGGCCGGGTTAGGGTCTTGGTCAGGATGTGGGGGAGGGGCGTGGGGGGAGAGACTGGGTCAAAACTCTGCTGCCACAGAGCTAGGAGCCCACTGTTACACCCACCATTTTCCACGGGCTTCTCAGCAACTTGAGACTGTTCTTGGCCTTCAGGTTTGGTGACCACCATGGATGTGAGGGGGGTGACAAAGCTATAGTTGAGCGACAAGCCCAGAGCTTGGGTCTCCAGGGCCTGCTTCTCAGCATCGGATGCGGAAACCCTGCAGGTAGAGAGCATCAGAGGGACAGCAGGTCCTGGATGCCTAGCTCCATTCTCCCTCCCTTCCAGACCCTTGGGGGTGAGGGCGGGTCCCTACTGGGAGAGTCTGCAGCTCAGACACCACTCCATGATCCCCCTCTCTCCATACCTAGGAGATGCCCAGGCCACCTGTGCTGTCCCACCCATGAGGAGCTTGGGGAGACACTGAGGCCGTGTGTGGCCTCCCCAGCAGGCCCTTGGGGGTGCAGGCCACCCACATTCGCTCCAGCAGTTGGTGGATGGTCAGGTACGCCCAGAGTCTCTCCATGAAGCCGTGGAAGATGTACTTGGGCTTTTGAAACTCCTCTTCCTGCTTCGCCACCTGGGACTCCATTTGGAAGGTGATGTTCTCCGTGGGCTGGAAAGAGGGGCCCAGCCAGGCGTCAGCAGTGAGGGCCTGACGCCCGCACCTGGCCTGCCGCTTCCCAGCACTTCCATGAGAAACCTAGTTGGGACTGGGCAGGTCCCACGGATTGGTTGTGAGAACCGCATTCCCTTCGAGTAGGTGGGGAGCAGGGAGGGAGTTTAGGGGTGTAAGGGGCTCAGCCACAGAGCCTCCAAGGATGAGAAGGAGGTGGAGAGAAAAGGTAGGAACTATCATAGGTTCAAGGCCAGGAACTCAGATCAGGTGCAGCTTTTGGGAGGAAGGACAATGGGGACGGGATCTGGACGCCAGGCCAGTACAGAAGCAGCAGCAAATGCGTTTATAGCAGAAAGGGTCCCAAGACGGCCCACCCCAAAGATGGAGACTCTGGGGACAGAGACAAGTGCCTTCCCAGCAGTCATGGTGGAGTTCGGAAGAGGGCTCAGGGTTTGGGGCCCCATGTACCCCATTAGGCTGCCCTTTGACCAAGCTGGTGCCCCCTGCTAGGACCAGGCACTGTCCAGTGGTGACAGCGAGTCATGTGCCCCAGTTTCAGGTGGACCGCTGCTTCCTTCCCCGGGGTGGGGCCTTCTGCTCTCAGGTTGACCTGGCCAGCAGCCTGGGAAGTGGGGCCTGTGGGCAGAGGAACTCCAGGCTTTCCTGTCACAATTCCCCGGAGGCCAAAAGCCTTTGTGAGGTGGACCAGACCCCATCCCCGCTGCTAGAGACACCCTCCTCTGTCTCTCACCAGAGCCGGGCCTCCCACACCTTTGTCACCTGCAGGCCACCTGCACAAATGTCCTATCCACCTGCACAAATGTCCTATCCACCTGCACAAATGTCCTATCCACCTGCCCAAATGTCCTGTCCACCTGCACAGCTATCTATTTGAAGGTTTTCCTTAAGTGAAAGTTAAACAAACTAACACTCTTCACTCGGCCTTGTCCCAAGCAAGACTACCAGGGAGATGCTCGGTCCGGGTTGGACTTATATTTCTCGGAAGATACATTCGGATAAATACGTAATTACTCAAACAAAGACATGGCACCCCCTTTGTCACCCTGGATTCCCCACTTTGT